TTTAGTAGAGACGGGGTTTCACCATGTTGATCAGGATGGTCTCGATCTCTAGACCTCGTGATCCAACCGCCTCGGCCTCCCAAAGTGTTGGGATTACAGGCTTGAGCCACCGCGCCCGGCAATGCCATGAGTTTTAATACACCTATATTTCCAGTTTTCAATGTTTTTTTCAACTACTTTAATGCTCTAGGAAAAAATAACCATTCAAAAAATACAGAAAATCATGTATGAGGGTACATATTTTTCTTTTTTCCTCAGGCTTCAATATGGCTTAGGAGGAAACTTCTTCGTTTTAAAATAAAGATGGGGTCTCACTATGTTGCCCAGGCTAGTCTCAAACTCCTGCAAGTCTCAAACTCCTGTACTCAAGTGATGCTCTTGCCTCAGCCTCCCAAAATGCTGGGATTACAGACATGAGTCACCACGCCTGGCTGATTCTTTAAATTTTTAACACTTCGGGCATCACTGATTATTTGCCTTAATTCTGATATTTTTAAAATATTGCATTAAAGTTTTTTGTTTTTTTTTTTTGAGACGGAGTTTCACTGTTGTTACCCAGACTGGAGTGAAATGGCACGATCTCAGCTCACCACAACCTCCGCCTCCTGGGTTCAAGCAATTCTCCTGCCTCAGCCTCCCGAGTAGCGGGGATTACAGGCATGCGCCACCATGCCCAGCTAATTTTTGTATTTTTAGTAGAGACGGGTTTTCACCTTGTTGACCAAGATGGTCTCGATCTCTTGACCTTGTGATCCACCCGCCTCAGCCTCCCAAAGTGCTGGGATTATAGGCATGAGCCAGCATGCCCAGCCACATTAAAGTATTATTTATCTTGGTTACTGAGTTTTTTTATGTCTCCTCAAATTTTGTACTCAAGAGAAGTGCCTCCCTTGCCTTACCCTAGTCCTAGCCCTGCCCCTTAATAGCCCTTTTTATATGTATCAGGCTCCCCCGACAAACTATAGGTATCTGGATGAGAGAGATGTGACTTATTATCCTTGTATCTCCACACCTGACCTAGCACAGAGGCTAACGAAGGGAGCACTTTAAAAGCATTTTACTGAAGGAAGGAATGGAGGAAAGAAAGAAGGAAAACAGCTAATGATAATGGCTAATCACTAATTTCAACTGACTTATTGTGTACCAGATGCTGCATTAAACACTTTGCTTATTTAATCTAACAACCCAATCATAAAAATAACATATCCATTTTACAGATGAGGAAGTTGAGGCACACAGAGATGGGTGAATTGTAGCCCCTGAGTGACTGTGCTGTAATTATAACTCCGATCAACTAGGAGCACTTCTGCTTGGGGTTCCCCAAAACGTTTCCTGCTTTGACTGTTTTTCCTCTGAGCATGGGAATGAGATGAGGAGGAAGTGTAAATAAGGAGGAAAGAAGTAGAGCAGGCAGATATAATTTAAAAGACCAAACTCTCACACTTTCACGTTATCTCACTTGAGCTGCATTAACGACCTTGGGTATCATTAACTACACTTTATAGATAAGAAACAAGATGGAGGGAGTGGGAGACTCCCCTTGTTTCCCTCAGGGTAGGGGAGAGTGAGTGAGATGAGAAGTAGGGATGACAGAGGGTGAGGTTGACCTGAGAGCCTCCTCCTCACCTTCCTGGCTCATTCACTTCCCCTGCACACTCCCCTAGCTAAGTGGAGACAGCCCCTCACCGCAAGGGCAGGTCTCCTTCACTCTGCGCCACCCAGAGGCAGGAGTCCCCTCACCAGGGACCTTGTAGAAGGAAGAGACTAGATAAGGGGCAAGGCTGTTGTCAACACTCTCGCAGAACTGCCCTTGTCCCAAGGCAGTTCTGCGAGAGTGTTGACAACAGCCTTGCCCCAATTCTACTGTTCTGTTCCTTTCGAGGTTTCCTGCCTTCCCTTTTCACATGAACACACACTCCTGTGAAAAGTGAAACTCAGAACACCCAAAACCCGAATCTAAACAGCCAAAAATTAAAATTAGATTGGGAGGAAAAAATGAAACTCATAGGACTTCCTGAGAACGGGTCATTCTGGGTCTTTGCGGCCAAGGGACTCAGACACGTCCTGCAGAAGCACGATGGGAACTTTCAGTCATGAATATGCATACATGGTGTCTGGAGATGGAGAGATGTCTAGAGAGAGGTGGGAAATGGAGCTTTTACCGGATACATTTTCATGATGCCTGACTTCTTACCATGTGCATATACAACTTTTTCACTTTCATTTTTTATTTTATTTACATATAATTTCTTCATTTACAGAAACACATTTTTTTTTTTTTTTTTTTTGAGACAGGCTGGAGTGCAGTGATCTCGGCTCTCTGCAACCTCTGCCTCCCAGGTTCAAGCAATTCTGCCTCAGCCTCCTGAGTAGCTGGGACTACAGGTGCACACCACCACGCCATTAATTTTTGTATTTTTAGTAGAGACGGGGTTTCACCATGTTGACCAAGATGGTTTCCAACTCCTGACCTCATGATCTGCTTGCCTTCTAAAGTGCTGGGATTATGGCATGAGCCAGCACACCCGGTCTGTTTTGTTTTAGGATTTTTTATTTGTTTGTTTTGTTTTTGTTTTTCAGAAACAGGGTCTTGCTCTGTTGCCCAGACTGGAGTGGAGTGGTGCAATCACAGCCTCTAACTCCTAGGCTCAAGCAATCTTCCCACCTCAGCCTCCAAAGTAACTGGAACCACAGGCACATGCCAACACACCCAGCTAGATTTTTAATTTTCAGTTTTTCACTATTATATATGTTTTTTAAACTTTTAGGTTCAGGAGTGCATGTGCAGGCTTGTTACGTAGGTAAATTGCATGTTGCAAGGGTTTGGTGTACAAATTATCATCCAGATAATAAGCATAGTACCCAATAGGTAGTTTTTTGATCCTCTCCCTCCTCCCACCCTCCACCCGCAAATAGACCCCCATGTCTGTTGTATTTTGATTTTTTTGTAGAGACAGGGTCTTGCTGTGTCAGTCTGAACTCAAACTCCTGGCTTCAAGGGGTCTCCCACCTCAGCTTCCCAAAGTGCTGGGATTATAGGCGTGATCCACCACCCCCAGCCTGAAACACCATTTTTTGAAAGTTGCCTGCACCAGCGGAGGCAGAGTTTGCAGTCACTATTCCGTGTTGGCTCATCTGCAAACCTCCCTGGAGTGGTGGCTAGGAAGCCTGCACCATGCTTCCTGTTAGGGGAGAACGGCTCAGTGCATGACACATTAGAGATGGGTCACACATCCTGCAGACTACATGCACCTCCAAATTAGGCAGCTAATTATTCTGAGAATTCAAAGTCACGCTTAAAATCAGAGTCAGCTGAAGTAAAATCAGATGAGCAATTTGCTTGCAGAATGCAAAGCACAAAACAAAGACTGCTGTTACTTCTTGGGAAGCTGGTCCCCGCCCTATCAGGAGCTCCAGGCTGGGGGTAATAATGGTCATGACCCTGTCCTGGGAAGGAATAGGGGCCATTCAACTCAGGTCAGGTTGGGTCCTGACTAAGGTCATGCCAAGAGTCAGGTCAGGATCACACAACCCCTGAGGATCACAGGGCAGAGGTGGAGGAAGGACAGAGCAAAGAAGGTAGGTTGGACCTGTACAGGGAGTGTCCAGCCCTAAGAAAAAAGAAATGACACCGGACGCGGTGGCTCACACCTGTAATCCCAGCACTTTGGGAGGCTGAGGTGGGCGGATCGCCTGGTCGGGAGTTCCAGATCAGCCTGGCCAACATGGAGAAACACCATTTTTACTAAAAATACAAAATTAGCCAGGCGTGGTGGCACATGCCGGCAATCCCAGCTACTCGTGAGGCTGACGAAGGAGAATCGCTAGAATTTGGGAGATGGAGGTTGTGGTAAGCTGAGATAGTGCCATTGCACTCTAGCCTGGGCAACAGGGGTGAAACTCTGGAAAAAAAGGAAAGGAAATGAAAGGACGAAAAAGAGAGAGAGAAAGAAAGAGAAAGGGAGAGAGAGGGGGAGGGAGGGAGGGAGGGAGGGAAGGAAGGAAGGAGGAGAGAGAGGGGGAGGGAGGGAGGGAAGGAAGGAGGAGAGAGAGGGGGAGGGAGGGAGGGAGGGAGGGAAGGAAGGAGGAGAGAGAGGGAGGGGAAGGAAGGGGGGAGGGGAGAAAGGAGAGAAAGAGGCCCTGTGCGGTGGCTCATGCCGGTAATCCCAGCACTTTGGGAGCCCTGAGGAGGCAAATCACCTGAGGTCAGGGGACCAGCATGGAGAAACCCATCTCTACTTAAAATATAAAACTGACTGCACGCCTTGCACTCCAGCCTGGGCAACAAGAGCGAAAACTCCATCTCAGAAAAAAGAAAAAAAAGAAAGAAAAAAGAAAAGAAAAAGAGGGAGGGAGGCTGGGCAGCAGAGCGAGACCCAAAGGAAGAAAATAAAGAGAAAGAAAGACAAATGTATTTAAATGTCAAAACAAATGAGAAACTGAACTAGTGGTCGAAGTTTCTACCATAGAAAGTTTTCAAATTATTGGATATTTGGAGTCATGCGCTGTCCTTCTCTGTTGCTAAGATAAGGCAGCAAAAGATTGCAGCACACGAGGCAGCGCTGAGAGGACCAGTGAACAGCGCAGGCCCTGGCGGCATAATTCGGAACACCCGCTTAGGGGGCTTTACCAGGATTCTCATTCCAGCCCAAGGGTTCTCAAAGTCGAGTATGCACCCGAATCACCCCGAGGGATTATTTAGGTCTGCGGTGGGTCCCATTTCTAGGAAGTCCTCGGATGATGCTAACTGGCGCTGCTGGTGGGGGTCCCACTTTGAGAATCACCCTCTGCGGTGTGAGCCGCTGCCTGTCCGGTACATTCGGAATAATCGTAGTAGGTATTCATGAGTGTTGGGGGCTGGGATTCACCTGATACCTGGCGCTGGGAGTCCTTCGCACAGCTCATGGAACACGGAATGGGCGCTCCTATTGGATGGAGCGCAAATGAGAAGCAAACTTGGGGCCGGAGCCCTGGGACCCTGGCCGCCCCGCCGCGTTTTCCCTCCAGCTTCCGAGCGCTCCCGGAGGGCGCGCAGCACATTCTGGTTCCATGCACGCGCCGCTCGAGGCTCTGCTAATTTAGCCTGTCCTCTTTGGGGTGCCTGGCACCCTCCAATCTTTTTCCCTGCTGAGAGCCTGGCCGCAGAGACCGTACCCCCGGGGCGTGCTAAGCCGCAGGGAAGCCGGGGCGCCCCTCCGCCCGGCCGCCGGGCGTTCCTGTACCCGCAGCAGTGCTGGGGACTCGGCGGGACCTGCTGCACCTGGCCCCGAAGGGGCGGGGCGGGCGCGTCCCGGCAGCCGGGGGAGGTCCCGCCCCGGCCCCACCCTCCCCGCCGTCCGGTGGGGAAACCCGGGAGCGGCCCCGCGGCGCGTCTGCGGCTCTGCCTCTGAGCAACAGGTAAGCGGCAGAAGGAGCCCGCGACCCTCTACCCGGGAGGGTTCCCCAGAGTTCCCCCACTGCTCGGACTTCCCTCCGGCGGAGCTCGCTTCCCACCTCCCCCACCGCCAGCCTTCGCCTCTTCCTCTTCTCCTCACCACCCCAGACAGTAAAACGAAGGGGCTGGGCCAGGCTGGTCCCTCCTGTCTTTGCTCTCTGCTGGTCGCGGTGGCCTCTAGCTCCTCCCTCGGTAGGACCCCCCTCCACCTTGGCGCTTATGAGATGAATGAGGAGCCCAGACCTCTGGAACTTGGAGGGGTGAGAGGGGGACAAGCCATAGCCAGGTCTCTACACCCTCTTCCCCTTACTCATCCATGCCCCGCATTCCCTCTGTGCCCCATCTCCCCAGATCGGGAGCACCCCGTGTGCTCTGGTACGGAAACTCTTCCAGAGAGGTTTCCTCCTGCCCTGCCACGTTGCGCCTGAACAGAAGGGGACACAGAGGGGAAGCCTCACTGGTGGAGGTCGGTCTGAGCCCTGCTAGGTTGACTCCCTCCCGAGGTTTTGGGTGTGGGGAGGATTGGCCTCATTCTGTGGGGAAATGGAATCTGTTGGGTGTTCATGACTGTGACTGTCACCGACTTCCCTATTTCCTCAGTTGTTAGATTCCCAGGCTGACAAAAAGGGGAAACAGGTTTTTTTGTTTGTTTGTTTTTATTTTTAACGACGGGGTTTCACCATGTTGGTCAGGCTGGTCTTGAACTCCCGGCCTCAGGTGATCCACCTGCCTTGGCCTCCAAAGTGCTTGGATTACAGGTGTGAGCCACCACGCGCGGCCGGAGAAACAGTTTTTACTTGCACCCAGGGCCAATCATCCCAGACCCAGACCTCTACAGAGGGTAGGATGGGGCTCTTCTGTGTATAGGGGTGGGTGGTGGTCACTTTGCCAGCAAAGCTTACAACAGACCCCTTCTAGCAGCCGGTAACTCATTGCAGCACTCTCGGAAAGGGTGTTAACTCTATGCTCTGAGCTCACCTCCAGGCCCCCACACACAGTTTGCAGGCACTGGGTGAGGTTCATAATTTGGACACACCAAAGAGCCTCAAGGATTTTTGCTCCTTTTACCCGAGATGTGTGTGCACCATACAGTGCCTGTTCTCCGCTCCAGATAGATGAGCTCTCTCCCTTCCCATCAGAGGAAAGGTAAGAAGAATGAGACAGGCAAATTCATGTAATGATGAAAACCAGGTCAGGTGGGGTCAGGTGAGAGGTTTGAAATATGCTTTGGTCCTGGCGGCATGTGGTGGCTCATGCCTGTAATCCCAGCACTTTGGGAGGCTGAGGTCGGTGGATCACCTGAGGTCAATAGTTCAAGACCAGCCTGGCCAACATGGCAAAACTCTGTCTCCACCGAAAATACAAAACATTAGTTGGGCATGGTGGAAAGTGCCTATAATCCCAGCTACTTGGGAGGCTGAGGCAGGAGAATTGCTTGAACCTGAGAGGCAGAGGCTGCAGTGAGCCGAGATCGCACCATTGCACTCCAGCCTGGCAGCAAGAGCGAACCTGTCTCAGAGAAAAAGAAAAGAAAATATGCTTTAGTTCCAATTGCCTAGCAGAAGCCAGTAGCATTGCAGGCATTTCCCTAGCTCCAGTTCCTTAATGATGCCATGGACTTTAGGAACCCAGAGGTAACCAGAGAAAGCTGCTTACCGGGGGACCAGGGCAGAGAACAGGACAGGACTCTCAAAGGAAAGAGAGAAGTCTGCAGGAGACTGGGCTGCTCAAGATGTTCTCACCTCCATAATGCTGCCCACAGTCCCACAGTTGGAACAGCTTATTCCTACACGTAGCAGCATGGAAGACCTTAGGCAAGAGAAGGGGAGGCCCTGATGCGTGTCAGGTGCCCTCTGAGGTCAGAGACATATTAGCCCAAGTTCAGCTAGAAGAAATGGGGACAGGAAATATGAGCATGAACTTAGTCCATGCAACCATTGCCTCGAGCAGACCTCAGGACCAGGAGGGGCAGCTAACGCTAGAGCTAAGGGCTTCTCAGTGCAGGGAGGCAGTGAGCATCATGGAGCCAGGCAGCTGACTCACCCCTATCGTTAACTTCACTGTATAACCTTGGCCAAATCACATATGTACTCCCTGGGTGGGGAGCAAATGAGAGGGTGTGAAGTGTTTTGGCAAAGCTCCAAGCACCAGTCAAATGCGAGACAATGTGATGTCATAGTTAAGAGAGTGAGCTTTGGAGATTCATAGGCCTGAATGCAAATTCTGCCTCTGCTATGTTTCTAACTGTGTGACCTTGGTCAAGTCACTTGACCTTCCTGGGCTTCAGTTTCCTTCTGTGTAAAACAGAGAAGATAGCTGTAACTTGATTTAATATATTAGCAGTAATATTTAAAATGATGATGGTATTGTCCTTAACATCTTCTGGCTCCTACGGATGTGTTCCCACATCTCTAGTCTGGAAGTGATGCTGAAGACCAGGTTGGGTATGTCTATGCCACAGCTTGGGTGAACTCAGCTCTTATTTTTTACTTATTAATTTATTTTTCTGAGATGGAATTTTGCTCTTGTTGCCCAGGCTGGAGTGCAATGACACTATCTTGGCTCACTGCAACCTCTGCTTCCCAGGTTAAAGCAATTCTGCCTCAGCCTCTGGAGTAGTTGGGATTACAGTCATGCACCATCATGCCTGGCTAATTTTGTATTTTTAGTAGAGATGGGGTTACTCCATGTTGGTCTGGCTGGTCTTGGACTCCCAACCTCAGGTGACCCACCTGCCTCAGCCTCCCAAAATGCTGGGATTACAGGCATGAGCCACTGCGCCCGGCCAAACTCAACTTTTTACGCAGCCCTCTGCCCCTTTCTGGAAAAGCCCAAATGTTCATTCTCATTTGATAGGGATGAGAGGACAAGAGTGAATAAGCAGGAGGTTAAGTGCACGGCAGTGCTTGTCTCTGTCGAGCTCAATGCTGTAATTGTGCTGTGTAGAAGGCCTGTGTGGTGAACAAGGATGAGCTCACTCCAGGGAGGAGAAGGACTGTTAGAAGACTTTTGTGGCACCTGAGAGCCCTGTGGGGTCTTGTTATTTTTGTTATTCTCTTGTACTCTGAGCAACCTGGTCCTAAGGCCTAGGTAGAGATTTGAAAGAAGAAAGCAACTCCTCAGTTCTGCATATAATAGAGAATGAAGGACAGACAACTAGCAAAATAGCATTGCCATACATCTCAGGGCAGAGAGGTGCCACAGGGATTGGAAGGCCAGGTAGATTGGTCAGGAAGAGCATTCTGGAGACTGAAGTTAGGGGACCGAGACTCGAGGACTGGGAAGGAGAAGGAAAACAGGATCTGGGTGGTCTAGCATCTGGGCCTGCCAGTTCTCCATGATATTTAGTGGGAAGTCCTACATGGGGAAAGCATGGGTAGCAGAGAAACTTGGGTACAAATAACACCTAGAAATTAAGGCAGCAAGACACAACTCAGTCTAGGAAGGCTTCTTGGAAGAGGGGGTCTCTAGCAAGAATCCGAAAGAAAAGAAATATGGCTTGCTTATCAAGAATCTAAGGGAAAGGCTTTGAGGAGGAAAAGATAGCTCGTGAGTGAGTGCCAGGCATCTGGTCGGGCTTGAGGATGAGCAGCAAACAGGAAGCAACCCAGCCAGGCCCTCTGTGTCTCTGCCAGTCAAACAGCGCTCAAGGAATATGAATACACTCAAGGAGTATGAATATGGCTGTCCTGATTGTGAAAGAGAGAGGGGCCCGAGGCAAAGGAGGCTGGCAGGCAGCTCCTGCTGATCCTCCAGATGCTGGTTGATAAAGGCGCAATTTCAAATGAAGGTTTTGAAAGCAGAGAGGCTGGGGAGGAACCAGGAGGCAGGGAATGAATCAGCAGGACTTGGGAGCAGGGCGTGGGGTGAACCTGAACTTGAGAAGGGATTAAAAATGACATGTCGGGAGCGGGACGGGGGCTGGCTTGTTTCATGGGCTTCGATGCTTCTGGCAGCAATGGGGAAATTGGAAAGGCTGGGTAGCGTAGGAGGCTGGGCCCAGACCCTGAGCCCAGGGGATGGTATACTGAGTAGCCAGTGGCCCCCAGGTAAAAGTTATACAGCCAAGAGTGGACTGGAGGGTGAGGAGAGAAGGAAAAAATTCAGTTCCTTCTTTTTCTTTTTTTTGAGGCAGAGTCTTGCTCTGTCGCCAGGCTGGAGTGCAGTGGCGCCATCTCGGCTCACTGCAACTTCCGCCTCCTGGGTAGTGATTCTCCTGCCTCAGGCCTCCCAAGTAGCTGGGACTAAAAGCATATGTCACCATGCCCAGCTAATTTTTGTATTTTTAGAAGAGATAGGGTTTCACTATGTTGGCCAGGATGGTCTTGATCTCTTAACCTCGCGATCCGCCCACCTCAGTCCACAAAGTGCTGGGATTACAGGCCTGAGCCACCTCACCCAGTCAAAACTTCAGTTCTATTCTCTCCCATGAATCCCCACTTCCCAGTCCGAAGACTGGCCCAAGAAGCCTTCAGGAATACCCTTCCTGTCTTCTGCCCTTCTCATTACTTCACTATCCCTCATCTGCCCTTTCCCCCAACTGCCCCCCTCAAGCCCAGTCTGGTTGTCACCAAGGCTGCCAGGTGATTAGAGAATCCCACATCGTTCTCACCTGGAGCCCTCCCTCTTTTACCTCTGGGCTCCTAGGAATAAACCGATACACACCTCTGTCCCACCTGGCAGGGCCTGCAGGGCCTCCAGTGAAAAACCTGTGAACTGTCAAACCTCCTGTTTGGTGGCACAGTATTTTGATTTTGGTGACCTGTTCTTGGAATAAGTCAACCAATATTAACTGAGTGCCTACCACATACCAAGCACTGCTCTAGGTATACAGTGGCGAGCAAAGTTGGGTTGGGTTTTTCAATAAAAAATCCCTGTTTGGGTAATTTAAGCTTAAAATATTGTGCAAACAGGCTAGACGCAGCGGCTCATGCCTGTAATCCTAGCACTTTGGGAGGCCAAGGTGGACGGATCACTTGAGGTCAGGAGTTCAAGACCAGCCTGGCCTACATGGCGAAACTCTGTCTCTACCAAAAAAGATTTAAAAATTAGCCAGATGTGGTGGTAGGGTGCCTGTAATCCCAGCTATTTGGGAGGCTGAGGGATGAGAATTGCTTGAACCCAGGAGTCAGAGGTTGCAGTGAGCCGAGATTGCACCACTACACTCCAGCCTGGGCAACAGAGTGAGACTTCGTCTAAAAAAAAAAAAAATTTGTGCAAACATAAAATGAATCTTCAAAAAAGGGGGGAACTTGATAGACTAGCTTCAGAAATAATTTTCAGTGTATCTTCCTGGGAAAATGAGCCACAGTATTGCAGCTTGAGTCTTGGGAAAGAGCTGAAGTGTCTTGAAGGTGTAATTATGGGGAAAAGTAAAAACCTCCCACATTCTGTGATCAAAAGGGTCAGAGGTGAGAGGAGGGCTTTGGAGGAGATAATTTACTCTTCTGCTCACAGCAGGAGTCCGGAGGACTGGAGATGAGTGCTGCGTCTGATGGAGAGAAAGTGCTTGTGAGGAAGAAAGGACAGTCATTTGGCCAAACAGCCTCTCAGCCCCATTTCCCCCACCAGTAGCTTGAAATTGACCTGCCCCCTCCCCAGTATGATTTCCAGCTCCACACACCTGTGCCTGTGGTGAGAGTGGTGACAGTCATCACTTTCCAAAGAAACTTGTAATTGAGCCCTCCTCCAAGTAACTTGAGCAAATATCTCTGTGGTAAGGACTGCTTGCTTCCTGCTGCCACGTCTGAGGAGGTGACCAGCTCAGCTGATAAACAGAAAGAAACACTGTTACAAAGAGGCCACCTGGCCAGCTAGGGCGTGTTCTGGGTGGCTGACTCTGGCATTCACAAAAGCCAAGATTTTGCCTGGGACTTCCAGTTTCCGCATCTTTAAAGCATTTGTATCCCTGAGTGGGCAAAGGGCAAATGCCAGGAAGGGGATCAAAGGGTGGAGTGGAGGAGGCTCAGGGAGGACAGACTTGGTCCCCAAATTCCCACTCAAATTCCAAGGGTTTGAGTGTGGTAAACAGAGTAGTGGCCTAGGAGTTGAGAGATCAGGTTCTATTCCTGCGAGCCACTAGCTAGCTGTGTGTTGCTAGAGAAGTCACTTAACCACTCTGGCCTCGCTGATGATAAAATGAGGGTGTTAGACCCACAGACAGACCTGGTCGAAACAGCAAGCTAATGTGTAATGGTAGAATATCCTGTAATTCAAGTACTTCTTGCTGTAAGTGCATTAAGAACATCATTTAGTGAAGCCAGTGCTCCACATTTAACCCCTCCGGCCTCATCTCGTTTGACAAGAGTTATTAGAACTAGCCAGACCCGGTCGCCCCCACCTCTGTAGTCCCAGCTACTCAGGAGGCTGAGACAGGAGAACTGCTTGAGCCTGGGAGGTTGAGGCTGCAGAGAGCTGTGTTCATGCCACTGTACTTCAGCCTGGGTGACAGAGTAAGACTCTGTCTCCGAAAAAAAAAAAAAAGTTTATGGAACACCTGCTATGTGTAAAACTTGTGCTAAACTTTGCAGGTGATAAAAAGCTGAAAACAGCATGGCCTCTTTGGTCCAGGAAGTCACAGACACGTGAGGTCTAGAAGAGACTCCTTTGACACAATGTGGGCTGTGATAAGACTGGAGTACAAATAAAACTTGGGTGCTAACGGGGCAAAGCAGGAAGAGATGAATTCTGCTGGGAGATCTGAGAAGGCTTTTCGGAGGGGAGCTAGAATATAAACTGGGGGGTTTGGACTGTGTTACCGGCTTTCAAACTTCTGTGACTGGAGCGAAGTGAGAAATACACTTTACAGCCAGACCTCTTCTCTGTATATATGTGACATGGCATTCCCAAAATCTTAGGGCAGTTTATACTTTAATCATATTACAAGCATAAATTCTACAAACAATAAGAAACTATCGTTTGAAAATTTAATCATTTAAACTTGTCTTTAGTTGTATGAATTTTGAATAACAAATTTATCATTTTAATTTTGTATCAGGCAGTGTGTATCTTTAATAGACTGAAACAAACATTAAAATAAAAATGTATTTTTCAGGCTGGACTTGGTGGCTCACACCTATAAACCCAGCACTTTGGGAGGTCAAGGCAGGAGGATTGCTTCAGTCTAGGAGTTGAAGACTACCCTGGGCAATGTAGTGAGACCCCATCTCTCCAAAAAAATTAAAATTAGCCAGTTGTGATGACACACACCTGTGGTCCCAGCTACTCCAGAGGCTGAGGTAAGAGGATCCTTTGAGCCCAGGAGGTCAAGGCTGCAGTGAGCTGAGACTGTGCCACTGCATTCCAGCCTGAGCAATCAAGTGAGACCCTGTCTCCAAAAAAAAAAGAAAGAAAAAAGGAATACTTACCTATGTTACATGTGGTATGTGATACACTTTGACATTTTCTTTTTCATTCTATTCTGTTTTTTTTTTTTTTATTTCAATTTTTTTTTTTTTTTTTTGAGACAGGGTCTTTCTCTATTAGGCTGGAGTGCAGTGGCACAATCATAACATAAAACTCACTGTAGCCTCGACCTCCTGGGCTCAAACATTCCTCCAGACGTGGCCTCCCAAGTAGCTGCGATTATAGGCATGTGCCACCATGCCCAGCTAACTGGTTTTCTGGTCTTTTTTTTTTTTTTTTTTTAAGATGGAGTCTTGCTCTGTTGTTGCCCAGGCTGGGGTGCAGTGGCATGATTTCTGCTCACTGCCACCTCCACCTCCTAGGTTCAAACTATTCTCCAGCCACAGCCTCCCGAATAGCTGGGATTACAGGCACCTGCCACCATGACTGGCTAATTTTTGTATTTTTAGTAGAGATGGGGTTTCACTATGTTGGCCAGGTTGGTCTTGAACCCCTGGCCTAAAATGATCCGCCCACCTCAGCCTCCCAAAGTGCTAGGATTTCAGGCATGAGCCACTGTGCCCAGCCCTTACTGGTCTTTTAAAGAATTTTTTGAATGCTGATTTGCAACACCCTAAATTTATTTTATAATATCTCAGTGGATTATAATCAGCAGTTTGATACAAGCTGGGCTGGGTAAAGCCTCAGTTCCTTACACCAGTGAGAGAAGGTAAGTTTGTGTTCTGGCTGGTGGGGCCAGGGAAGCAAGTCCCATTTGTTCAATGTAGGCAGGCTTCTCAGAGAGGATTCCTAGCGTCATCTTGGGATTGAAGCCAAGATGGTCTGAGGAGTTGCAGGCCCAAGGGTAGCTGGAGGAAGAAGACTTGGGAAGAAATGCTGAGCAACAGTGAGAGGGAAATGAGTGGATGGGGGCTGAGGGCACACTTGCCAGGAAAGCAGGAGGCCAGGTATGGGAGCCCAAAGGTGAGGGAGCTATGCAAGACACCAGGGGCAGATCCGTGAAGCTCTGCACTTGGCTCGGTACTATCATAGTAGCTATTCTTTCTCCAAGGCTGGCAGAGGGGTGACCTCCAAGACCTTGCTAACCACACTTCTGGGAATTATCTCCTACACAGGGAGCAAAAATCCTTAACCCCAAAGTCCTGTGGCTTCCACTGGATTCTCAGTCTCTTCTAAGGGACTCTTTCCTGTTGCCCTCATGCTGAGCAAACAAACTAGAGAGCAAGTCCCTCACCACCAAGGCTAATCCCAGGTGTCTCGTTTCGGTTCAGGATGTGGTTAGTACCTTGAGGAACTGCTGGTTTCAGAGAGAAAGCTTCAGACAGCCAGACAGGATCTAGAGAGCAAATGCCTAGGAAGAGCTTAATTTAACCCTAGATTTCTTTCTCCAGGGAAAATAAAAGGAGCAAAGACAAACCCCGCTGCACGGGACCACAAGGCACTGCCAGGATGAGGGAGTTGGAGTAACCTGGGTGATTCTGAGTGAATCAGTTAGGGAGGCCTTCCTGGAGGCGGTGAGTCTTGAGCACTGGCAACAGCTAATAACTACAACATTACCACATCTTTGTTTCTGTGCTCCCTCTTGCTGGAGTGGGAAGGTAGCAGAGAAGATGCAGCCTGCGGGACCGTTCAAAGTTGTCATGGCATATACTCCCCCATTCTGCAGGCCTCTGTGTGGGCTTAGCCAGGACAGTTCCAGAACTGATGAGGTGTCTAGCTCTAGCGAATCCCCCTGTGCTAGCCCCGGCACAGCTCAACCCCTGTGACAAGAAACTCCTGCTCACTGAACCCCCATTTCCTCCCTGAAGGCTTCCTCAGGCCGCAGGGAACTCGACCTTTCTCAGCTCAGCGCTTACTCTCTGTGCTATTCTGCTTTGATTTTAGTAATTTCTGAATAAGTGGTATAGTCAGGGTTCAGAGTACAAAATGGTACTCAGTGAAAGGTCCTTTTCCTGCTCCTGAGTTCCCCCTGGACAGGTGCTTCCTTGACCTGCTCGGTGCTACCGGTTCTTGTCCTCCAACAAGATTTTCAAATCGCTTGGGGAAAGGAGTTGAGCCTTTGTGTCCCTCTGTGTACCAGATGAGGTAAACTGTCCCACCCCATCACCCAAGGGAGTCTTCCTGGCACCACATCCTCCCTCTTCCATCCATGCTGCTACTAACCATCCTGGGTCAGACCCCGAATGGGTCATCCAGCTGCCAAGCAGGTCCCTTTGCAGATACCCTCCACTGCTGTCATATTGCTCTTCCTGTAATGCAGGGCTCCCAGTTTAGCCCTTTATTACTCCCCATGCCTTGGGTCAAGGGCAAATGCTCCTCAGCATGATGAGCAAGGCCCTCATAACTTGGTTTCAGCCACCTCTGCAGGCCCAACGTCTGCTACTCCCTCCATGCCAGACTGTTTGCAGTTCTGAGACTAGCTCTGCTGCCTCCCATCTCTAGGCTTTTGCAGGTGCTGTGCCTTCTGCCTGAAATGTGCTCACCTCACCTAACTGACTCCTCCTCACCAGTCAGTGCTCCCCCCAAGTGTCTTCCCCCATGAGATTTCTTCACAGACGTCGCCCTCCCCCATTTGCTGCATTTCCTCATGCCTTCTCCCTTCAGCACGTGATTCTGCTTCTCTTGGGGTAATCTCTGTTTAAAATCTGACACCTCCAATTGACTAGGATCCTTGAGGGCTGGCCTTGCATGTCTCTGTGTGTCCCCCTCCTCTTGCCGAGTATGAGTATCTGGCAGATGGCAGGTATTCAGTAAATACTAGTGGAATAAACAAATCTCTCCTATCTCCTAGACATTAGTTAATGCAAAGTAGATGCTCAAAGAGATTTCTTTTGTTTGATTTTTGATGGTCCTGCTGAATCTGATGTTATAAAAGAAGCCACATTTGGCCAAGCACGGTGGCTCACGCCTGTCATCCCAGCACTTTGGGAGGCCAAGGCAGGTGGATCACCTGAGGTCAGGAGTTTGAGACCAGCCTGACCAACATGGAGAAACCCCATCTCTACTAAAAGTACAAAATTAGCTGGGCATGGTGGTGCATGCCTGTAATCCTAGCTATTGGGGAGGCTGAGGCAGGAGAATCGCTTGAACCCAGGAGGCAAAGGTTGCAGTGAGCCGAGATCATGCCATTGCACTCCAGCCTGGGCAGCAAGAGCAAAACTCCATTTCAAAAAGAAAAAAAGCCACATTTGTACCTCAGTCCAGAGTGAATTCAGCTCCCCACTTGAGATCGTGATGGCCACATATTCCCAAGATCTCAGACACCAGGCCTCTCCACAGGCAGGAGCTCATGCATTTAAACAACAGCATTAAATAGTTCAACCAGGTTTATTTTTAAGCAAAACATTCAGGGAGTAATGAACGTGGCTTTGGCTAAGGGCCAGGTGCTTGGGGATAATTGCTGGGAGGTGAAGCAGGGATCGAAATAATTGATACCATTTATTGAGGGCTTAGTATATGACAGGTGCCCTCTGCCAACCGTTTTACCTACACTATCTGATTTAATCCTCCCCACAACCCTGTGAGTTAGGTATTAGTTGCCCCCACTTGATAGATGAGGAAATTGAGGCTTAGAGGGATTAAGTAAATCACCCAAGGGTCATGCAGTTGCAATTGATCAAAACTAACACTTTGTGGGAACTTTCCATGTGCAGAGACTGCTAAGGGCTGTCCATGAATTTTATGGGGAAGGAACGTAATCCTTATAACAACCCTAGGAGGTAGGTGCTATTACTAGAAGAGGAAGAACTGGAATCTGTGCCCAGGTCCTTTGCCACCAATGTCTGATGCTTAACCAGTGAGCTTATGTGTCCAGAACTCCACACAGAAAGTTCTGCAAGCATTCATCCTCCCGGGCGTAGATCCACATGCCTGGGGGTGGAGGCTGGTGAACGCCCATGCCCAGCCCTGCCAAGATGTATTGTCATGAAATCTTAGGTTTCTGTTAAATCTTTTTTCTTAAATATGAGTAGATACAGATAACTTTTTTTTCCTTTTTTTGAGACAAGAGTCTCACTCTGTCAACCAGACTAAAGTGCAATGGCGTGATCTTGGCGCAATGCAACCTCTGCCTCCCATGTTCAAGTGATTCTCGTGCCTCAGCCTCCCAAGTAGCTGGACTACAGGCATGTGTCACCATGCCCAGCTAATTTTTGTATTTTTAGTAGAGACGGGCTTTCACCATGTTAACTAGGTTGGTTTCAATCTCTTGACTTCGTGATCCACCCGCACTCAGCACTTCTCCTTCAGCACTCCCAAAGTGCTGGGATTACAGGTGTGAGCCACTGTACCTGGTCAACTGTTTTTTTGAGACAGAATCTCTCTGTCACCCATGCTGAAGAGCATTGGCTTGATTACAGCTCACTGCAGCCTTAACCTGCTGGGCTCCAGCAATCCTCCTGCCTCAGCCTTCCAAGCAGCTAGGACTACAGGTGTGCACCACTATGCCTTGCTAATTTTTAAAAAGTTTTGTTGAGAAGGGCTCTCGATACGTTGTGCAGGCTGGTCTCAAACTCCTGGGCTCAAGTGATCCTCAAATCTCAGCCTCCCAAAGTGCTGGGATTACACCATGCCTGACCAAGAAATAGTTATAAAATACGTGTAGGGTATAAAGAACTACAGTTCACCAGCAGCCATCATCCACTTCGAGAAAAACACACTTTGAAGCCCCTTTTACCCATCTCTAATCCTGTTCCTTTTTCTTCACCTTCAGAAACTGATTATATCATTTCCTTAGCTTTCTTTTTTGGGGGGATGTTGGGGGCGGAGTCTTGCTCTATAGCCCAGGCTGGAGCACAGTGGCGTGATCCCAGCCTATATTTTTAGTAGAGACAGGGTTTCACCATGTTGGCCAGGCTGGTCTTCTTTAGCTTTCTCTGTAGCTTTACCACATATTTGTATTCACAAACAAGGTATTGTTTAGTTTTAGCATGTTTGTACATCTTCTATAAGTGGAATCATACTGTATGTATCCTTTTGTCACTTGCTTCTTTCACCCAACATCACATTCACATGGTTGCATGGAGAACTGGTTCATTCTTTGTTATCACTGTAGGGAACAGCATGGTCTGGTATTTTCCACTTTATTTATCCATTCTGCTGGTGGACTTAGAGGTTTTACCAGTTTATTGCCATTTTAGTCAGTGAGTGTTGCTATAAATGTTCTTGCACATGCCTCTTGGTTGGCATGTACCAGAGTTTGTCTGGGATATAAAATGAGGAGTGAAATTGCTGGCTCAGGCTGTGCTCATTTTAAATTTTGCCTGATAATACCTAGTTGTTTCCCAAAGCGGTTATAACGAATTCAATCTCGTGAGTTTAACAATTAAATCTCATGAGTTTAATGATTACATCTCAGGTAGTATTTTAGTGTTCCAGGGACTCCAGATCCATGAATGTAAGAATCTTAGGGCAGGAAAGAAACACTGCCTCCAGTCTCCTCATTTTATGGATGAAGGAAATTTAGATGCGGGAAAGTTGTGGTCATTAAGGTGATGCCACCACTCAGCAATAGAGCCTCGAACCCCAAGTACCCGACTCCCTCCTTACCCTGTCTTGGCTCACTTCTCTCTCGTCCCTTCCTTTCTCAGGCTGAGGCCCCAGCTTGTGGCCACCACGACGTATCAAGCTATTTCCAGTGTTGGGCTCAGCCAGCTGACGTGGCTGGGGTCCCCCTTGGCTCTGGAGGATGAGGCTCCTCCGCAGACGCCACATGCCCCTGCGCCTGGCCATGGTGGGCTGCACCTTTGTGCTCTTCCTCTTCCTCCTGCAGAGGGATGTGAGCAGCAGGGAGCAGGCCACAGAGAAGCCATGGCTGAAGTCCCTGGTGAGCCAGAAGGATCACGTCCTGGACCTCATGCTGGAGGCTGTAAACAACCTTAGAGATTCAATGCCCAAGCTCCAAATCAGGGCTCCAGAGCCCCAGCAGACTCTGTTCTCCACAAACCAGTCCTGCCTTCCTGGGTTCTACACCCCAGCTGAACTAAAGCCCTTCTGGGAACGGCCACCACAGGACCCCAATGCCCCTGGGGCAGATGGGAAAGCATTTCAGAAGAGGAAGTTGACCCCCCTGGAGACCCAGGAAAAGGAAGAAGGCTATAAGAAGCACTGTTTCAATGCCTTTGCCAGCGACCGGATCTCCCTGCAGAGGTCCCTGGGGCCAGACACACGACCCCCTGAGTAAGTAGCACTCAGTCCTTGAGGGGAGACCAGGGCTTTGCTAAAGGCATGGCTTGTATGTCCAGGGCCACGGGTCAAGGGCTAGAGAAAGACTTGAAAGGGATTTTATGCCAGGCACACCTGTAATCCCAGCACTTTGGGAGGCCTAGGCGGGTGGATCACCTGAGGTCAGGAGTTTGAGACCAGCCTGACCAACACGGAGAAACCCCATCTCTACTAAAAATACAAAATTAGCTGGGCTTAGTGGCACATGCCTGTAATCCCAGCTACTCAGGAGACTGAGGCAGGAGAATTGCTTGAACCCAGGAGGCAGAGGTTGTGATGAGCTGAGATCGCACCAATGTACTCCAGCCTGGGCAACAGGAGTGAAACTACATCTCAAACAATAAAAAAGAAGGGGATTTTATAATATGAGCAAGGATCTCCTCTGTACCTCACTTCTTTCCCAGAACAGCTATGCTGATCCCAGGGGTTGGGGTACAAGGGTTAGGCCAGAGGCTGGGGAGACCTGTTAGAGTGAAGCGCAATATGAAAGTGAGATGATGCAGAAGAAGGGACTCAGCCGGGCACCAGGACCTGGCATGGGGTGACTGGGGAGAGCTGATATCAGGCTATGGTTTCCATAGCCTTCCCCTCCACTGAGGCCTGCCCCAGAGACTGTGGGACTCTAATGCTGAGCTGTTTGGAGAGGGGACTTTTCTTTTTTTTTTTTGAGACGGAGTTTTACTCTTGTTACCCAGGCTGGAGTGCAATGGTGCGATCTCGGCTCACCGCAACTTCTGCCTCCTGGGTTCAGGCAATTCTCCTGCCTCAGCCTCCTGAGTAGCTGGGATTATAGGCATGTGCCACCATGCCCAGCTAATTTTTTGTATTATTAGAAGAGACGGGGTTTTACCATGTTGACCAGGATGGTCTCGATCTCTTGACCTCGTGATCCACCCGCCTCGGCCTCCCAAAGTGCTGGGATTACAGGCTTGAGCCACCGCGCCCGGCCGGAGAGGGGACTTTTCTTGACAGCAGCCCTGGTGGTCAGAAATATCCTCACACCCCCTTGTTTCCTCCATGAAGGCCTGCAAGGCCGTGAATTGATTCCAACCTTTATTTAAAGTTTATAGCCTTAATCTTGCACAGTGAGATACCACTTAGATCTTTGAGTGGCAGTCTCTCCCTCTAATGCCTCCATGGCTGCATTCCCATGATCCTCAAGTTAAAGACAGTATGTCTTCCTCACTTAGGCTTTGTCTTTTCCAGCTTAAGAGTTATACCCTATTTGGCCTTTTCTCAAATGGCAGCCCTCATCCCCAGATTCATGAGTCTTTAGATCTGTGAATCTGCAGTTCTTGAGACTTGAGCCAAGTATTATAGCCCTAGAACAGGGGGCACTTGGAGCGATCAGGAGTTCCTCAACAGAGAAGGGCACTGGGGCCAGGTGCAGTGGCTCATACCTGTAATTCCAGCACTATGGGAAGCTGAGGTGGGCAAATCACTTGAGCCCAGGAGTTCAAGACCAGCCTGGCCAACATAGTGAAACCCGGTCTGTACTAAAAATACAAAAAAATTAGCCTGGCATGGTAGTTCATGCCTATAATCCCAGCTACTCGGGAGGCTGAAGCATGAGAATTGCTTGAACCTGGGAGGCAGAGGTTGCAGGGAGCTGAGATTGTGCCACTGCACTTCAGCCTGGCAACAGAGCGAGACTCCATCTCAAAAAAAAGAGAGAAGAGCACTGGGTTGTGACAGCAGCCAGGGGAGGAAGCTGGGGAATCTCTCTGGAGGGTCCTCAAGAAATCCTCTGACAAGCAGAAGTCAGAAAAGGGTGTTAGGTCACATGATTCCTTGAGATCCAGGATTCACAAATTCCCACCTGTTCTCATATTCACATATTCTCCTGAGATGGAGGGTCAAGAAGGTAGCAGCGTGGCCACGTGCCACAGAGTGGCTGGAGTGGATAAGGATTGAAGAAATGTCACAGGAAGTTGACTGTGAGAGCAGTGGCAGATCACAGGGAGTTAATGAGAAATGGATTAAAGAGGAACTGTACATTGTAAAAGGAAGAGCCTTTTCTTTTCATTGAGTATGGAAATCATAGTCACTTTTCTCAGATGTCAAATTTGGCCTTTATTACCTACCCCTCTGGGACCTCTGGATTGGGTTACATTTTATGCAGTTCACATATTACGGAGGAAGAGAGCCAGCCCTGGGAACTCCTAGACTGAGAGCAGACAGCAGAGGAGGGAAGCAGGTTGAGGAGCCTCAGCATCACAGCTGGGGCACTGAGCCAGCTATGCGGGGATGGATTTTGAAGTGGTTTGGCTAGAACCTGTGCAGAGGCTAAGGGTGGGTGGCAGATATTGAGGAGACAGGAACGGGGAGCAGCTGTTCCCACCTGCTACAGAGAATGTAGGCTGCAGTTCAGAGGAGTGGAGTAGGGGAATCTCTGGATGGGGCCTTCCCACACCTGGCACTCCCAGGGCTCAGGAGAACTTTGTCCATACTTTCATACTTACAGGTGTGTGGACCAGAAGTTCCGGCGCTGCCCCCCACTGGCCACCACCAGCGTCATCATTGTGTTCCACAACGAGGCCTGGTCCACACTGCTGAGGACAGTGTACAGCGTCCTACACACCACCCCTGCCATCTTGCTCAAGGAGATCATACTAGTGGATGATGCCAGCACTGAGGGTGAGGCTGGAGGGGCCCAGAGGAGGGGGCTGGGGTCTCCCCTGGGCACTCAAAGGAGGAGGGCAGGTCTTTTAAGGGAGCAGGCACCACCTCCAAGCCCACTGCCTGGCCTCACAGCTCATCATAAAGGCCAGGAGCAGGAAGAAATCAGGTGGGGGACAGGTAGCCCATGCTTCCTTCGCGCCTCAGCCATAGAGCTCCAAGGGCTTTTCAGCTTTGGCTTCAAGACTCCCTGAATGCTGCCAAGGCCAATCCTAACTCAGAAATGCTGGGAGAGCTGGGGCAGAGGGTAGGGACAGGGCTTCATCTCTGTTTCCTACCTGCCGGCCACTCTTGTGCTCTTGAAGCCTCCCCCATCAGCCATTTTTGCCTAAGTGGGGTTGCTCACCAAACGTCCAGCCTTCAATTCCACAAACATCTACTGAGTACTATGTGCCTGGTTCTGACCTAGACAGAGGGGATCTGTCTCATGTCTCATCTGCCGCAGGCAGAGGGGCATGTGGTGTCTGGGGCTCTCCCAGGTTTACCTGTGCTCAAACTCCCAATAGTAAGGGCACCCAGTCCTGTAGAGCTGCTGCCGATCCTTGCCTTCCCCCAGCCTCCCTCCTTCCTCTAGGTTAGGCTGAAAAGAGGACTAGGGTTGTGGAAGGGAGTGGAAGAGCGAGCTGAATGTGACATGACAAATGAGACAGATCCTGCCCTAAAAATACTAACAACCCCTATAGGTCAGAAGACTTCTTACAACACCAGCCACACTGCTGTGGCTGTGATGTACCTGTAACAGGTGTGAGGGCATGGACTGCAGAGTCCAACACCCAGGAATTCAAATCCCAGCTCTGACCCTTCCTAGCTCTGTGACCTTGGACAAGAATTTGCCCTCCCTGAACCTGTTTCCTCTTCAAAAAATGAGGGCAGGCTGGGCACAGTGGCTCAAGCCTGTAATCTCAGCAGTTTGGGAGTCTGAAGCAGGCAGATCACTTGAGGTCAGGAGTTTGAGACTCCTAGCTGACATAGTGAAACCCCATCTCTACCCAAAATACAAACAATAATTAGCCGTGTATGGTGGTGTGCACCTATAGACCCAGCTACTTTGGAGGCTGAGGCAGCACTTTGGGAGGCCAAGGCAGGCGGATCACGAGGTCAGGAGTTCAAGACCAGCCTGACCAACATGGTAAAACCCACTTCTACTAAAACTACAAAAATTAGCTGGGCATGATGGTGCATACCTGTAATCCCAGCTACTCAGGAGGCCAAGGCAGGAGAATCGCTTAAATCCAGGAGGTGGAGGTTGCAGTGAGCCGAGATTATGCCACTACACTCCAGCCTGGGTGACAGAGTGAGACTCCGAAAAAAAAAAGTAAAGGAGGAGTCATTGAAATTGTGACCTCATTTCAGAAGGATGGCAGCTTTGGAGGAGGATAATCAGCAGAAAGAGAGGCAGAAGACTCACAGTCTGGAGAAGAAGCTCTTATACTCTTGAGAATAGGAGATGATGGGGCTGGAACTAGGAAAGGCTGTGGGACTGAGGCACCTTTAGGTTGGGAGTCTCCCTAAGCTGAGTCCTCCTCGCAGGAGGCATGTGGTGTCTGGGGCTCTCCCAGGTTGACCTCCTGTGCTCAAACTCCCAATAGTGAGGGCACCCACTCCAGTAGAGCTGCTGCCTGTCCTTGCCTTCCCCCAGCCTCCCTCCTGCCTCTAGGTTAGGCTGAAAAGAGGACTAGGGCTGTGGAAGGGAGTGGAAGAAAGGGCTGAGTGTGAGCTCTGTTGAGTTCATTTCTTCAGGGAACTCACATCTTCCCAGGGAAGACAGATATTTGGCAGCAATTACAAAGCAAGACAAGACCAGCCTGGGCAACATAACAAAATCCCATCTCTAGAAAAGGTAAAAAATCAGCGGGCATGGTGGTATGTGTCTGTAGTCCCAGCTACTTGGAAGGCTGAGGTGGGAGGATCCCTTGAGCCCAGGAAGTCAAGGCTGTGGTGAGCTGTGATTGCACCACTGCACTCCAGCATGGATAACAGAGTGAGACCCTGTCTCTAAAAAAAGATACAAAATAAAGTAAAATAGGCTAAGCACAGTAGCTCATGCCTGTAATCCCAGAACTTTGGGAGGCTGCAGCAGGAGGATTGCTTGAGGCCAGGAGTTCGAGACCAGCATGGGCAATGTAGCAAGACCCTGTCTCTACCAAAAAGAGAAGAGTTGGCTGGGCACATTGGCATGTGCCTGTGGTCCCAGCTACTTGGAAGGCTGAGGTGAAAGGCTTGAGCCCAGGAGGCTGAGACTACAGTGAGCCTTGACTGCACCACTGCACTCCAGCCTAGGCAACTGAGTGAGACCCAGTCTCTAAAAAAAGAAAAATAAATAAATCAAGGCAAGCAAGTACCAGGGATGCAATGACAGGATGTAGTGGACAAGGAATGTATAGATTAGGCTTCTGGAAAGGGAAGGGTGAAGAGTTTGGCAGAGATGGGAGGAGCTTGTCAGTGGTCTCTAGGGAATCTTTGTAGCAATGGAATGGGTATATGGAATGGGAGCAAGCATATCAGCAGTCCTTCCTCTCAAACTGGGTTCTTTTGTTATCTTTCTCCTCCCAGTCCTATGCCCCCCATCCTTTGGAAGCTCTTTCACCTGAATCTTTTGTACTGGAGTGTAGTAGTCCATTCTTACGCAGCTATAAGGGCATAGCCAAGGTCATTTATAAAGGAAAGAGCTTTAATTGACTCACAGTTCTGCAGGGCTGGGGAGACCTAAGGAAACTTGTAATCGTGGCAGAAGCAAACGTCCTTCCAGAGGCGTTAGGAGAGAGAATAAGAGCCAAGCAAAGGGGAAAGCCCCTTATAAAGCCATCAGACCTCGTGAGAACTTACTGTCACAACGATAGCTTGGTGGAAACTGCCCCCATGATTCAGTTACCTCCCACTAGGTCCCTCCCACCACATGAGCAGATTATGGGACCTATAATTCAAGATGAGATTTGGGTGGGGACACAGCCAAAGCATATCATTTTACCACTAGCCCCTTCCAAAACTCCTGTCCTCACATTTCAAAACACAATCTCGCCTTCCCAACAGTCCCACCCAAAGTCTTAGCTCATTCCAGCATTAACCCAAAAATCCAAATCCAAAGTCTCATCTGAGACAAGGCAAGTCCCTTCCCCTATGAGCCTGTAAAATCAAAAGCAAGTTAGTCACTTCCTAGATACAATGAGGGTATAGGCAATGTGTAAATACGCCCATTTGAAATGGGAGAAATTGGCCAAAACAAAGATCTACAGGCCCCACGCAACTCCAAGATCCTAGGGCACTCATTAAGCCTTCAAGTTCCAAAGTGCTCTCCTTCGACTTCATGTCTCACATCCAGGTCATGCTGATGCAAGAGGTGGGCTCCCACAGCCTTGAGCATAGGGGTTCTAAACTGTTATCACCCCAAATTTTGTGAGTCCATGAGCTACAAGTACCCAGGTAGGCAACTCCTCTGACCAGCTAGACAAGAGACATAATGCTAGGGTGGCACAGGCAGCATCTAACAGGCAGAGCAGCCTGTGTTCAGTAGGGCAGAGTTGCCAGTAACCCCAGGAGCCCCTCCAAAGTGCTGGCCTCTAGCAGGCTACCCTACACATGTTCACCTTCTCCCTGGCTATCCTGGACTTGTTGCCCTGCACTCTCTCCTAAGGCCAGTTCTCTCCAATTCAAGCATCTCTAAATCATCTGCATGATCAGGGCACACTGGCTAACACCTATAATCCCTGCACTTTGAGAGGCTGAGGTGGGAAAGTAACTTGAGTCCAGGAGTTCAACACAAGCCTGGGCAACATAGTAAGACCCTGTCTCTACAAAAAATAAAAAATTAGCTGGGCATGGTGGCATGCACCTGTGGTCCCAGCTACTTGAGAGGCTGAGGTAGGAGGCTCACCTGAGCTCAGGAGGTCAAGACTGCAGTGAGCCCTGATCACGCCACTGTACTTCAGCATGGGTGACAGAGCGACACCCTGTCTCAAAAACAAAAACAAAACAATCACCTGCCTGAAAAACCTAAGCTAGTTGGTTTTGTTTGTTTGTGTGTGTGTGTGTTGGTGGGGGGTCCTGGCCTCCTTTGAGAATCTGTGAAAATCCCTAGAACAGTGTACACCACTGCCCACAACAGTATGCAACATCCACATTTTTGCCTGTAATTCCAGGGACCCTAGGATAAACAACCCTACCCAGAAGGCTCTCGGACTCTAGAGATACTTTCAGCCACATTCAATTCAGTGAGGAAATGAGGGAAAAACCCTCAGGTCCATGGTGAGAAATCTCTGCTGTCCACAGCGGGATAAAATTTCCTACACGTTTGACTGTTTGAGCAGATTAACCAGCTCTCATTACACACACACACAAACAGGTCTGTGTCTCTGCTGAAATACAATGTCCCTGCTCTCTGTCCTCCTCTCCAGGCACCCAGCAGCAGCCCCGTGATAGTGAGTCTCAGGCGTTTGATACTGTGGGGGAGGAGGCCCCATGCTGAGCTGGGTGGCTTTTTCTTCCCCACCTCTGAGTTAGAAGCAGGGCACAGACCTCATTCCTGAGTAGCTAAGTCTGCATCCAGGGTTCCCTCCCTGTCTGGCACACTCCATTAGCTTAACTAAATTAGAGGGAAAAAAAGAAAAGAATGCAGGCGAATGGGCTAGTGAGTGAGTAATTAGGGAGCTCTTGTGGAGTAGCCAGGAAAGGCTATTCTTAGTGCTCTCCACAAAGAGAGCAGCGACACAGAGGCCTGAAGCTTGGCTTGTTAATGAGGCAGAAAAAGGCAGTGTGGCTTAAACACAGTGAGCAAGAGCTGAAAGAGTACTGGAGGAGTGGGTGTAAGGAGGCCAGCGGGCCAGGCACGGTGGCTCCGGCCTGTAATCCCAGCACTTTGGGAGGCTGCGGCGGGCAAAACACAAATTCTCCATGCTGTCTCAATAAATAAATTAACTAATTAAACAAATAAAATAAAGATTTATTTATTTACTTATGAGACG